CAGGAATGCACTTTTCACAGTGGCTTTTACCAGTGAACATCTCCTCTGACAAGCTCACATGAACTGCTTTCTTGAACCTGGACAGCAGCGATTCATTTTTCTGATGCTGCTAGAATTCAATTTAATTGCGGACTCCACAGAACAATGATAAAGTAGAACGCTATGTTATATTCTCCAGGTAAAATTTAAGAATTGCCAAATGTTACAGATGCTATATAAGCAAGGATAAGTGAAGATTTGACTCGTTTTAACATTTTTGGACTATAAAACTGAGGTCACTCTAGAAGTTATTGGTAAGGAAAGAGTACCTGCAAACTTAATGGTAGTTCATGGATTCTCGTGGCCAACGTGCGAATCTCTCGGTCAGACAAAATGCCTGACTGGTCTGTGTCAACCTCATCGAAGATCTGAGAAATGTTCAGTGGCTGGACTGCACTCATAAGATAGTAGAAATATGAAAAAGCAAACTGCATGTCTTCTGAGTGCCGTACTTTGTGAAATGATGTCTTGTCAAACTCCTCAGGAAACCTACATAAGAATGTAAACTAATTTAGTACTCCAGTTTCTTAAAGTAAAACATTTCTCCACCTAAAACCAAATTTCCATCTAGAATTTTCAGAAGATCCTCAAGTCTCCTTATTTTATCACAACTAATACAATGTTGTAATAAATTCCCTATTCAAAGTATGATTTTAACGAGTAGCCATCAACACATTGGAAATAGCTATAGCAAAGCATCAGCAGAAAGGCAGAATTAGCTACATTATTCCAAAGACACACTCACATATCCTGTAGCTCTTGCATAACAGTGCGGTCAATCATGTGAGGCATATGAGCAGGGACTTTCCGAGACGTAAATCCAAATTTGCTGTTTAAAAGCTTATTTACATAGCGAAGGGAATCAGCAAACGTATCTTTCAGCTGTCTTCCAAAATGTTTACCATCAGTGAAGTATGACATTTGTTTGAGTAATGACTCTTCTTCCTAAACAGGAGGACAGGCATAAATCAAGGTTACATTACCTAGAAAGACCAAAAACATTAAACACATAGGCAAAATGACATTTCAGTCAGGTGCCAACTCTTTCCAATATTTGAAAATGGGAAGAGAAGTTTTAAATGTTTTTCTTCATATTCCTTGGTTCTCTCTTTCTAATGAAAAAAAGTAACCTTTTCCTTTAAATTTTCATGCTTTGAGGAAAAGCAGTTTATAGAAAACTCAGTATTTCTGCTCTGACACCTCACACACACACACTAAAGTCCCTGTTTGCTATCAATTTGTAATATCGCCTTTTTTTTTTTGCTGAATATTCATCTGCATTTCATAAACTGAAATGCAATGAATATAAAGATTCCTCATGTAAAATCCAATCACAGATGACCAGAAAGAGGCAGCCTTATAAAAACATAGCCCCTTTGCCATGTGGAGTAGTGCAAAGCAGTTGCTGCCAACTGAAGCACAGTCTCTATCTTCTCTGCTAGAGGTTTTCAAAACTCTGCCAAAATGCTTTGGCTGGAAACAGAAAAAGCTTCCTACATGGTTTCTTGACATGGTCTGGACATTCAGTTTTGTTGGCAGACTTTCAGTTCAAATTTAGAGCCAAGTACTTACCATTACATTTTTTTTTAATAGACTGGATCCATACTTGCATAAATGCAATCAAAACAAAATTTAGGCTTTCTGTTGTAGGGCTACATATGTCTGAACAATAACACTGTGCTAATATACAGTGAATAAAAACTGAATCTGACTAAAAAGAGCAGTATAAAAGGAACAGAAATGGCTGTTCAGCTTTCACCAACTAGCTAAGAGAGGCCCAGATCATAAACAAATTAGATTCTATGTGAGAAGTCAAAAGGAACTTTCAAAAAAATCTCAGTATTTGGCTAAAAGGCAAGACACATTCTAAGTTTATAATCATATTAAGAGCATTCCACTAAATGCAGAAAGATGCAACTATTCCAATAAGCAATGACATAAAAATACTCACATCAAGAAGGTCCTGGAAATACTTCTTTTTCTCCCATGGCAAAAAGCCTTGGTAGCTTCCAGCATAAGACTGCAATTTTCTTCCCACTAGCACCTCCCTTACATTTGTATCCATCTGCACACGCCCCTTTGCTCCTTCCGTTCCTTGTGCGTCCTCTCCAGTACCTAAATTCCCAGTGTGTTTTGATTTTTGGGTTTCCCTTAATATGAGTGCATTTAATACTTTTTCTCGAGTTTCATTTTTATTTCCCATGCTCTGGGAAGGAACTGTGGATTTAAGCTTTACTTTATAAAGAGGTTTATTTGTGTTCATCGTCACAACAGTCGCCTTTGTTCCTGTAAGCCTTGAAGGAACTTCATTTGATTTTACAGTGTTCGTTTTGCTAACATTTACATCTTTATGAGGCTCATGCCAGCTCGTATGGTTCTTCTGATCTTCTGAATGATTATGCACACTCTTCTTTTCCAAGCCTATAATACTCTTCACAGTAGCTAAGAACTGGAAAGGTCTCAGGAGAGCAGCCTTGGATCGGTTATATCCTTTCTGAGTGATATCACCATTTAGCAGTTTTAAGTCCAGGTTTTGCAGTGCTAGCTGAACATCTTCAGGAAGGAGAGACACGTTTACTGCTGGTATTATCACCTCTTCATGTAGACTCTCTTTTGTGCCATTTCGATGTCTCCTGACTTTTGGAAAGCGTTTTTCTTCAGGAATATCCTCAAATATCATTTCAGCTTCCGGTACTGAAGTTACAGTTTTAAAATCAGAGTTGGATTTTTCCGTGGACGTTGTGTTCAGTTTTGGTTCCTCCCTAGTATCAGCTTCAACAGCTATCTGCATTTTAAACTCTTCATCATTTTTATTTAGAAACGTAAGGTTGAAATAGATCACGGTTGTATTCATGCCACTGTGCATTATGAGGTGGATAGTTTTCCACTTGTTAGCAACTGAAGCATGTCGAATGATTGGATTATCACTGTATGAACCCTCAACTCCTTTCTTGGCTATTTCACTGAAGCTGAAGTAGGGCAGACATTCACCTTTGGGAATAACGTAGTAGGTCTGATTAAGCTGAAGCGTCACCTTGTACATCTCTTCAAAGTGATCTGGATAAAAAAAAAGAAGAAATAAAACAAATTTCTGTCAATTTGCAGTCACAGAATCACAGAATCGCTCGGT